ATATATAAGGAGGGATTAAGAGAAACTATTGGTAAATTTATTCACGTCAATAACTCATATTTTATATTGAATTTAAACAATCTAATGTTAAATTAAAACTTATTAATGTATATATATCAAATTTTTAAATTTTTAAAAAAATTTAAAACTATTTCATACTTCATTTTATTAATTCAAATTTATAGATAAACATAAAAATATTTTATACATATAGTATCATATGATTTTTCAATTTTTTAAAAAAATTATGAACTTGATTTATACATTAAGAAAATTTAATTAAATTGTTGAATTGTTAAAATTTGATATAAAACATGAATTATTGAGTAAAGTAAATCTATCAAGACTTACTCTGAAATAATTGAATATATATATATATATAGAGAGAGAGAGAGAGAGAGAGAGAGAGAAAGAGACTGAGTGAGACAGATTGAGAGAAATTCACTTATTCTAAGAATAAGTCTAACTAGATTTACTTTGGTTGAATCAATAATCCAATAATTTAATAACACACAAAATAATGGACAAGATGGTATTGGTCCCTTTCATTAATTTCTTTATAATCTTATCTTTTTGTGTTAATATGATAATTTTTTTTAACTTTATTTATAGTATAAAATTTATCTTATTAAAATTAATCTAAATTAAATCTATCGATATTTTATATTTTAATTTTTAGTCACTTAACAATGTTCATTGGTGAAACATACTCTGTCAAAAATAATAATGTACGCTTTTAATCTTTTCTCATGCAAGAAATTAAAAAGGACAACTATTTAACTATATTTATTATAAATGTTTATTTTAAATTTTACAAATTAAAAAATAAAGTAAGTAAGAATATATGAAAAAAAATATTTTAACCATTTTTTTTGTCACCTAGAATTCTAGAAAGATAGTAATTAAAGGTTTAAGAAATGCAATTAAAATCTTAGTTTCCATAAAAAATAAAAAAAGAAAGATACGGTAATCGAAAAGTCAAAAAGCAATTGATGGTTGTGTAAGAATGTTCATGTTCTTAATTAATGAGTCTTTTCTTTGTCCTTGTCTAATTCACACTGTTATGGAAGGTGTCAGAATTGGCACCCCTCCCTTATGTTGTTGAAACGTTAGCTTTATTCCACTCCCGAGGCTCACCACTCACTACAGACTACAGTACTCCAACCAATCACACTCCCTCGATAACAGGGACACCGTGATTTCCTGCTAACACTGCTCAATGCTCTCTCTTCCTCACACATAAATTGTAAAATGTTAAACACTGTGCGTGGCACAGTGTAACTGAAATCTTATTTAGGAAGGTGATTTGATTGATTAGATTATCCAATCCCTTTAATCACGGAACTAGCTACTACACTGTTCATGTTCATTAAAAACCAACACCAACACCAAGTACCAATCTTTCCCTCTGAGCGACCAGTCACCCACGGGACCCTACCTACCCACAGTAACAATAGCTCAGTCTTCATGTTCATACTTGTATTCTAGTGCTAACATTAACACTTTTTGGCTTTGAGCAACCAACCCTCTTCTTCCTCAACAATGCTCCTAACACAAACAACATGCATTCTCCTTTTCTCCATTGTGGCCTCATTTTTACCCCATGCAACACCAATGCTCAACCTCACACTCCCTGGCCAACATCCAGACCCCGAAGCCGTTGCCCTACAAATTCACAGGTGCATTATTTCAAACCCTCATTTTCCTGTCTTTTACTCTTTGTTTTCTTAGACGTTTGATGCAAAACATCCTCACCCTTTTTTCATCCCATCTTGAAGACCCTACATTGCGAATTACCACCCCATCCAAGTTTCACAAAAGTCAAAACATAAAAAGACAATCTTGGCATCTGGGTCATACTCACACCCAACTCACAGTCCACTATTGCTTCATTTCTTTTGAAATTAGCCACTAAATTCAGCCACATGATTCATTCGGTCACAAATTTCATTTTTTTTCTTTCACTCAGGATGGTGAATGCTTCAATGGCAAGAAGGGAAATGCTGGGAGTGTCAGTGTCAGAGAAAGACGTGGCATCCTGCTTAACAGGGAACCCCATCGACGACTGCTGGAAATGCGACCCAAATTGGGCGAACAACAGACAGAGGCTAGCCGATTGTGCAATTGGGTTCGGGCAGAACGCAAAGGGAGGCAAAGGTGGGGAATTTTACATAGTCACGGATTCCTCCGACGAGGACCCTGTGAACCCAAAACCCGGAACCCTCCGATATGCAGTGATACAGAATGAGCCACTGTGGATCGTGTTCCCCACTAACATGATGATTAAGCTCTCTCAGGAACTCATTTTCAACAGCTACAAGACCATCGACGGCCGCGGAGCTGACGTCCACATCGTAGGCGGAGGATGCATCACTCTTCAGTATATTAGTAATGTCATCATACACAACATCCACATCCACCATTGCCATCCCTCCGGTAAGACTAGTAACTAAAATTCACCTATTTAGATTCAACAAAACCAATACTCTCTTTTTATTATATCTCAATCTAAATATCATATTTTATTAAAATATAAATAAATTATTGTGGAGTTATGGGTAAAATAAATTATATTTGATCATTATAGAATTGTGTGTAAAATAATATGATCATGCAGTGATTTAAAACCCGGACCGAACCGATGGTCCAGCTGGTCGGACCGGGAACCGGTGGTCCAGCCGGTTTGAATTTTAAGTTGGACCGGTTATGCAGTCGACTTGTTTTAAACCGGATTGAACTAGTGAACCGGTAAGTCAAATCGATTCAACCATTTTTTTATTATAATTTTTTTAAGGGACCATAAACCACAAAAATAATAATAAAAATTAAATCTCTTAATAAAAAGCAAGGAGTCTTATTAAATATAATTTTTTTATGTATTTTTTTACAAAATAAAAATAAAAATAATTTTAAATAAGATAGAAAAATTAAAATTTAAAATAAGATATAAATTTATTAAAATTTATAAGTATTAAATATATTTAATATGAATTTTTTTTAATAAAAATAAATAAAAATTGAGTCATGCATTTCAATTAGTGACTCATTAGTTCAACCTTTGACCTACTGATCCAGTATCTTAACCGGTTTAATGATTGGTCCGATTTTTAAAACTATGCGATCATGTTTCCCGCTTTTTTTTGGCGCCTTTATTCTCTCTCAGGGAATGCTAACGTGCGGTCGAGTCCAGAGCACTACGGGTACCGCACGGAATCGGACGGCGACGGGATCTCGATATTCGGGTCGAACAACATCTGGATCGACCACTGCACGCTGTCCCGGTGCAAGGACGGTCTAATCGACGCAGTGATGGGGTCGACGGGGATAACAATCTCGAACAACCACTTCTCCCACCACAACGACGTGATGCTGTTGGGGCACAGCGACCAGTACCTGCCGGACTCCGCCATGCAGGTCACCATCGCCTTCAACCACTTCGGCGACAACCTGGTCCAGCGCATGCCACGTTGCAGGCTGGGCTACATCCACGTGGTGACCAAGAGGCTGGACGCCCGAGAAGGAGACTGGACTGCATGGAATTGGAGGTCCCAAGGAGATGTTATGTTCAACGGAGCTTTCTTTGTTGCTTCTGGCGCTGTTGCTCAGCCTAACTACCGAGATGCTTACAGCGTTGAACCTAAGTCCGTTGACCGGATTTCGCTCTTGACTATGTCTGCTGGTGTTCTTGGTGTTGCCAGGGACAATAATCTTGGAATGTGGACCAGAGGAAGCAATGATTATGATGGTGTTTCTTTTTCAGATTTCGGTCCTCACTACACGGACGACATGTCCCCTAGTACAATGCAGTTCCTACCTTCATCTTTTTTCATTCTTCTCTCTGCATTCTTCTCTCATATAACAACAACATTTCTATAACAAATACGCTCATCTTTCTTGCTTGCATTGCATGTTCCTATTCACTAGACAATCCACTGATTCAGACTCTCTATCTTTTCTTTTATTTTTAACAAACTGGCCCTAAATAACACTAAAAATGTCTTCGAAATTTGGAAAGCAATTTTTTTTAGTTAGTGTTAACATGGTTAACTAAATTTATATATGCCCTTATCTTTGTTTATCTCATCATTTCCCTTCACTTTAACGAGGATGTTTCAATTAGTTCAGTGACATTGGAATGGATTTAGACATAACTTGTGAGCATTTTTAGTTACTTCCCATTTACATATAGAACAACTTGTGAGCGAGAAAAACATGTGTCTTAAACGTGTTTGAAATTGTGTTGACCAACCCGAGTTCTGAACTTTATGCTACTTTTTGGATTTGATAGGAAGTAGATGATGTAATATTGTCGGGTAGGGTTTCATCTTGAACTTTATCTATGATTATGTTAGTTAATTGTCGTCAAAATAAAGTTAATGCGAGTTTATTAATGAGACAAAGTAACAAATCATCTTTTCTAATTTATGTTCCATTTTGACGAACTGATATTGTTTTCTTTTCTTTTTGACCGAGACTGGCCGATAATGGTGGCTGTGATCTTCACTTTTCCATACGTCTTATGATTTGTTTAAACCAAAAACGCATGCCCCGAGAGAAATGGAAAGAACAGTGGTGGTGTCCTTTAATTTGAAATTTAAAATAAGGTGTTTTTTTTTTTCTTAAAAAAAAAAAAAAGAAAAAAGAGACAAGTATCCTTGACACAGACAATCTCAATTGTGTTTAAAATATTTTTAGTATAATAGGATTATTGGTCACAATAAAGATTCGTTTTGAACTAAAAGCTTTCTTGTTATTTTGATTCTCATCGACGAGAAGAGGAAAAGAAACCGAATCTGTAAAAACTAAATGGGTTATTTTACAATAAACTAAGCCTGAGTTGGCAAGAAACACCATTGACCCATCAAAGTCTCCAACATGTTTGACATCTTTCAATTGATTTTGTACGTTTGGCCTTTTCGGATACATGAAACTCTTAACACGGAATTCATGTGCTTCGTGGGATTCAAAAAATCTGCCTACAGTGTCCTGCTTAAAATTATCAATTGAAAAAAATCTAGCTTCAAAAAAATATGTGATTATTATCATACAAGATTGTTTGAGTTTTATGAAAGATTGAGTTTTAATTTTTGGTATACACCCCATTAAATATTTGGAGTGAGAATTTTGTCACCTTTAATCGTATCGGTCCCAACATAATTGCTTCTTGTATATATGATTGATACCAAAAACTAAAATAAAATAAAAATTGTACTTGCTGGATTGCACGAATTGGTCTTAACTTTTAAATGATAATGCTGTTACCACATTATTGGCATACTTTATTGGCACATTATTATTAAATTAAATTTATGTGAGTCACACTGAATCAATTATATTCACATTCTATTCTAAGAGATCTACATAAAATTCATCTGATGATAATAGTGTAATGAAAAATAATATTGTTCCGGCCAGGGGTTGGACTATGATTTTTTCCTAGATCGTGCCTCCGAGTCAGAGTATTCAAAAGTGTAATCTGCCTTCTCAACTATAAGGTTTTTGGCTTGCTGACGGGCCTCCTAGGCCCCGAGAATGTAGGGATTTCTTCAACCGTCTAATCTAGAGAATATTTTGTCATTAAAGATGAGATTTTGTCCCTGATATCGGATCAGTATCTATGTGAGAGGGTCAGATCGGATTTTGGCCGAGTTGGAGCACACAAGTCGGATTCTAACCGAGTGTACCCATGTAGAGGGGTCAGATCGGATTTTGGCCGAGTTGGTAGTCAGATTATGGTCGAGGGGGTAGTCGGGTTAAGGTCGAGCTAATTTGCGGCGAGCCTCCACTCGGGCGTTAACCGAGTGACCAATCAAGAAAGAGCCGACCGAGAGCCAAGTCGGCTTACCACCAGGGAGGATGTAGGATCGTGCCCCGACTGGGATCGAAACCCGTTAGTCGGAGAATGACCGCTACGTTACACTAGTCTTCCAGCCTTGAGCCTATGAGGCGAAAAGGCTAAAGCGATCCCCTTCTTTGAATCACCCAGGCAGTAAACCGAGAGAAGGCGTCGGAGATTGACCGATACGTTACACTAATGTTCCAGCCTTGAGCCTATGAGGCGAAAAGGCTAAAGCGATCCCCTTCTTTGAATCACCCAGGCAGTAAACCGAGAGAAGGCGTCGGAGATTGACCGATACGTTACATAAATCAAACTAGAAAATTTCTGTTAAATGAACAGATGTACTCGGTCAAATTCCGAATTAGAAAATTTCCAAGTTAAATTCCGAATTAGAAATCAAACTAGAAAATTTCTGTTAAATGAACAAATGTACTCGGTCAAATTCCGAATTAGAAAATTTCCAAGTTAAATGAACATTTTGTAAGCATATTCGTCAAAATTGCGAGCTTTCTAAGTAAAATCAAAAGTGGTCGCTCCTAATCCGATTGGAATTAACTTGAAAATTTTCTAAAACCCGAACTTGAATTACGAGTGTTCGCCCGAAAACCGAGTGAGAAAAAGAATTGAATCATCACTAATCGGGAAAATTCCGATTCCAATTTCAGAAAACCATAAAGATTCATTGTTTAAAATTGGATTTTATCATAAGTAATCGGGAAACTTCCGATCATTATTTTCCAAAAAACCAAAAGATTCATTGTTTAAACTTGATTTTTGAATTAGGTCTCGCCTTAATATCCAGTAAAAAGGTAATAAACGTGTGTAAGGTCTTCTAAGTTGAGATAATCTCTCTAAGACCGAGTAGGGAAATAAAAATTCCAAGCTAAATGTCGATTTTGAATCAAGCAATCACCTGCATGGCGATTAAAAACTTCGTGCTGAATTATAAAAACTCACCAAGTTGTAAAAACTTCAAGTGGAGTTGCCGGTACTAATCTGATTAAGTCCCTCGGTAAAGTTCCGACTATGTGGTTTTAAATTGCCAAGATGTCGACCAAGTTATAAAACTTCAATTAGAGTTTCTCGGTAAAATTCCGACTAAGTCGCCTTAGGTCGCCAAAATATCAACTTGCAAATAAGTGAGAGAACATGAAACTCATGCGTATAGTGAGTAGTTTATACTCGCCTAGTCAGATTTTTGCCGACAATCACGAGTTTCAGTCTTCGAGTTATTTATACTCGCCCAGTCGGACTTTTGCCGACAATCACGAGTTTTAGTCTTCGAGTTATTTATACTCGCCCAGTCGGACTTTGGCCGACAATCACGAGTTTCAGCCTTCGCGTTATTTATACTCGCCCAGCCGGACTTTTGCCGACAATCACGAGTTTGGTCTTCGAGTTATTTATACTCGCCCAGTCGGATTTTTGCCGACAATCACGAGTTTGGTCTTCGAGTTATTTATACTCATCCGGCCAGAATTTGGCCAACAATCACGAGTTTGTCTTCGAGTTATTTATACTCGCCCAGTCGGACTTTTGCCGACAATCACGAGTTTCAGTCTTCGAGTTATTTATAGGTGCCCAGTCGGACTTTTGCCGACAATCACGAGTTTCAGTCTTCGAGTTATTTATAGGTGCCCAGTCGGACTTTTGCCGACAATCACGAGTTTCAGTCTTCGAGTTATTTATAGGTGCCCAGTCGGACTTTTGCCGACAATCACGAGTTTCAGTCTTCGAGTTATTTATAGGTGCCCAGTCGGACTTTTGCCGACAATCACGAGTTTCAGTCTTCGAGTTATTTATACTCGCCCAGTCGGACTTTGGCCGACAATCACAAGTTTCAGTCTTCAAGTTATTTATACTCGCCCAGCCGGACTTTTGCCGACAATCACGACTTTCAATCTTCGAGATATTTATACTCGCCCAGTCGGACTTTTGCCGACAATCACGAGTTTCAGTCTTCGAGTTATTTATACTCGCCCAGTCAGACTTTTGCCGACAATCACGAGTTTCAGTCTTCGAGTTATTTATACTCGCCCAGTCGGACTTTTGCCGACAATCACGAGTTTGGTCTTCGAGTTATTTATACTCGCCCAGCCGGACTTTTTCCAACAATCACGAGTTTGCTGCTTTTAAATAACACACCTGTCGATCATGGAAAGATAAAATAGAAGGTATTTAATAAAATTGGAATTATTGGTTAGTGGTGCCTCGTTAAAAATCTTCTCAGCAAAAAACCTTTTTACATTTTTATATGGAATAAAAATCTCTTGGGATGACCCCAGCTTCTCGGCTTTCAGCTGCCCTTTTGTTGATTTGTCCATTCTCCGTCTTGATGTGACTCAGGGCGAAAGCTCTCACCTCCGACATTGTTTGACAATTCGCTTTCTCCAGCGCGATGTCGAAAGCTCCAGACCTTAAGCCCTTCTGGAACGCGATGACTGCCATCCTTTCATCCAAGGACGCTATCCTCCAGGCGACCTCATTAAACCTTTGCAGAAAGTCCTTCAACGACTCCTCCCGCTTCTGTTTGAGGTCGAACAAGTCCGACGTGATCGGTGGTTTCTTCTTGTTAGCGGCGAACTGTGCCATGAAGAGCCGACTAAAGACATCAAAGTCGGTGATTGATCGGTCAGGGAGACCACTAAACCAATCCAGTGCTGCTTTTTTGAGTGTACCCATGAATAGTTTGCAGCGGACTTCCATACTTCCTCCACAAATCATCATTTGAGCGCGGAAATCCGTCAAGTGCTGACTGGGATCCTGAGTTCCATCAAAAGGTTCGACTTGGGGAATCCGATGATCCCTCAGGATGGTCTCGGCCTCTATGGCCTCCGAAAAAGGTCGAAAATCTCTGGGGACTTCCATCATGACATCTTCCTCCACCGTCCTGGCGTTGGCCGTTATCATAGCTTGCATCTCGTCCGCCCGCCTCATAATCTCCTCGTTTTCTCGTTGAATAGCCTCCTCTCTCTCCTTGGATCGCGCATTCTCCTCCCTCAAAACGTTGATCAATGCCATCATCTCCTCCATGGTAGGGTGTTGTGAGTCGCTGTTAGATGTGCCGCCTCTTGCCATGGTAAAGTGCGGATCCTTCTGTGTTACTTGGGGCGTAGGAAAAGTTTCATCGTAGCCCCACGGTGGGCGCCAAAATGTTCCGGCCAGGGGTTGGACTAGGGTTTTTTCCTAGATCGTGCCTCCGAGCCAGAGCATTCAAAAGTGTAATCTGCCTTCTCAACTCTAGGGTTTTTGGCTTTATAGTTTCTTGCTGACGGGCCTCCTGGGCCCCGAGAATGTAGGGATTTCTTCAACCGTCTAATCTAGAGAATATTTTGTCATTAAAGATGAGATTTTGTCCCTGATATCGGATCAGTATCTATGTGAGAGGGTCAGATCGGATTTTGGCCGAGTTGGAGCACACAAGTCGGATTCTGATCGAGTGTACCCATGTAGAGGGGTCAGATCGGATTTTGGCCGAGTTGGTAGTCGGATTATGGTCGAGGGGGTAGTCGGGTTAAGGCCGAGCTAATTTGCGGCGAGCCTCCACTCGGGCGTTAACCGAGTGACCAATCAAGAAAGAGCCGACCGAGAGCCAAGTCAGCTTACCACCAGGGAGGATGTAGGATCGTGCCCCGACTGGGATCGAAACCCGTTAGTCGGAGAATGACCGCTACGTTACAAATATAATGCTAACCTTCATCCATCTATCACTCTCCGTCCTTGAAAGTAGAATCATCTTAAGAATTTTGTTTGTCCCTTTCTATAATATTCATTTCAAATCATCTCTTTTATTATTATTATTGTTATTATATCAAGATATCCTTAATTATATTACATGTTTTTAGTCAATAAACCATAAATAATATAAATTTTTCTCACTCTTATGAGGATTGAGAAAGATGACCGACTAACCACAAATCAATAAGATAAGTTGCATAACTACTATTTTTTCCTCCACACATTAACTGATTAAATATAATGCAACTAAATTAAAGAGTGAAATAGCATGTTTCAATAATTTTAAGGATATTGACAAATTTCTTTAGTCACGAAAATTCTGTTTTTTTTTTTTTTAATACTCTCTGCTCTGTGTAAGTATCACTTTTTCTTTTTGAGAGGTACAATGATCTCAAGTTACTGACTAATATTATTTTCACATAAAATTCTATTTTCTTTTTGTATCTCTCTCCATCATATTACTCATTCTATAAGAATAACATTAATCAATAAACCACTGTTATAGTAAGCAATTCAGAATGGAAAGTTATCTATTCAAAAGGAATAATGCAAGTCTATTTACAAAATCATTAGTGTTAACATTTTGAAGGCAGAGTCTCATCTTAGTTCAAATCCCATAAGGAACCTGAAAAATCCCATGAGTCACATCCCTCTGCAAATTCTTGAGGACTGTAGTTGAATGTTCCTGTGCTATTACAATCTTGTTCTACTTCTTTCTCACCAAATTCATTTTGCATTATCCAATCCAATATCCTAGTCTCATAGGGTGAGCTTCTCAATTCCCAATCTGATAAGGGTAAAGTGTCTATGGAGCTATCCTTTGTCTCCCACTCACTATCTTCACAACAAACTTTTTCTGTGATGGAAACCATATCAATGCTTTTCTGGTTGAAATCTCGTGTTTCAATTTCTAATTTATACTTGAAATTTCCTTAGATGGAGAATGAACTAGTGTAAGTGGATTATAAATTACACTCATTTACAAGAACTACAGCAACAAGCAAGTGAATGCGTTTGGATTCTTTAACGAAAAAAATGAAATAATTTTTTTCATAAACTGAAATTAGATCAAGCATAAGCTAATTTGTAAATACTTTCACTTATTAACTTCTCAAAAATCTTGTTTTTAAATTATATACAAGTTAGTTTTAATTTAAAAAAAAATATTTTAATTATTTTTTTTTCTAAAAGTATTTTTGAAAAGAAACTTATTCAAGCACACCAAGTCTTTTATGACTACATGAATCAAATGATACCACAATATTTTATAGTAAACAAGTCTATAATAAAATGAGTAGAGCTCGCAAATAAATGAATTAGATAATTTAAAGTTAGATTATAATGGATTAGATAAAAATAATTCATATAGATTCGTTAAAAATGCATTTCAAAATCTAACCCATCCAAACCTTTTAAGAAAAAAAAAATCTAATCCACCAATTAACAATTTTTTAATGATAGATTTCTGATCTACCCATAAAAACGTTTTAAAAATTAAATACTTGTTAAAATTAGATGAATAATAAATAAATGAATCCTTTGACACACCTATAATAAATGAACATTTATTTATATAAAGAACAACACATTGTACCTTCTTGTCGAACTTGAGGAGCTCTTTTTCTTAAATGAGTTCTCCAGTAATTCTTGATTTCATTGTCAGTTCTTCCTGGAAGTTTCCGAGCAATCTTTGCCCACCTAGATTCATTGTACTATAAGGTTACAAATTTGAAGAACTTGAGGTGATAATATACCAATTCCAACACTAGCAGTGTAACATTGTGAACACAAAGTACACGTATTTTTTCAGCCTCAAGCAGGGGAAGAATCTCACTTGTTACCCAATTGCTGCTGAAGCTGAACAATAAGTTTCTCTTCTTCACCACTAAAAGGACCATGCTTGAGATTTGGACGAAGATAGTTCATCCACCTTAACCTACAACTTTTACCACTTCTCCTTAAGCCTACAAAAAAAAAAAAAAAAAAAAAAAAAAGTTCTAACACTTTTCACCACGCATGTACAAAATATAAATGATCAATGTCAAATTGAACATTTTATGAAGGTCTTAAAAAAAGTGAATGCACTCTCGACATCAAGACTTTTGGGGTCTAAATGACTACATTGCAACTATATTAGCCTCATTCATTCGTAATTTTTCACGATATCAAAGATTACAATAAAATCGCAACCACGATCACAATTTAAACCCAAATTTTATAAAGTATTCATCAATATCATGATCATAAACATAATAGTTCATACATACCAGCTAATTTGGCAAGGGAATCCCATCTTCGTTCCCCAAGTAGAGCCACAAAGTTGGTCAATTGTTCATCTTCCTCTTGAAGCCAAGTCCCTTTACGCAAATGTTCTCCTTGCATGTTTTTTTGATATTTATATGCCACTTTATTTTCCCAAGTCCATGAAGAGGGCCTTAAGGCCACATATTTATATGCACAAATTGTAAGATAAGATAAATGACTAATCATAAAAACGAAGTTGGAAAATTGAAAAGGAGAGGATAATATTGCTGAATGTGTGTGGAAACTCCACCAACTATTGCCTTAGCAATTAATTAACGAGATAATATGCAATGTATATATCAAACTATATTATATAATTAGGTCATTCATTCTTCTAAGATTAGATGCACTTCTATGATCACTATTCTTGGCATCAGCAATTCTGGCCATTTGTGCAGAGATGCTCCATAACTAGCTTCTACTTCAGCTTTAACAACTTGCTAGATATGTAGATTGTGATCATTGATACAAATTCTTTTTGCCATTGAATAGTGTTAGAGACAAGATATGAATGTTTAATGTAACGTGAAAAGAAAAAGAAAACAATTGAATTAAATTTATTTGAATTAATTAAATGTTTGAAGATTAAAAGATAAGGGATAGGGATATGGTTTTGGGTGGCAGGGGAAACCAACATTATGTAAATCCATTAATAAGAATGAAACTTTAATTCTGCTCATGCGCTAGAAGTGGGCTCAAATTGATGTTGTCTAGCGTATTTTTGACATCTTAATTTATTCCTTTGATGGTTTAGCTACTACTTTTAATTTGATAGTTTTCTTAGTTTTATCTCAGAAAGAAATAAAATAGGAAAAGATAAATCATACACTTTATTATTTTAATAGAAGAAAAACAAATTCTTGAAAGATAAAAAATATTTCCGTTGTTAATTTTTCTTGTTATTCATTAGTATTAATTTTTTAGCTACCTACTTGTCCAACTTGGTTATTTCCAATATGTGATTTATTTATTTATGGTGTAACTAAACAAAACAATAAGGGGCCAAACCAACCTAACCTACCCTAAGCTTAAACAAGATAAAATGCCTATACGACTAGTGCTGAAGCGTTCCTTGACTCTGAGCTTTTAAGGAAGCAAATTAATTATTACAGAAAGAAATGGACTCTACCCAACAAAACCATCATATATAAAGTGAGAGCCATGTTTTACTTTTTTGAAAGAAATTTACCATTGACTTACATTCTAAGGTGATGAGAATTGAGAACAGGGCCCAAGTTGAATCAATATTCCTCTAAATGCCCTGTAAAGACAAACAAACTGCGCCCATAATTATATAGGAACCTTAGCCACATTGCAGGAATATAGAAAAGAGAAGTTTTATTCCTACTCATGTTTTCTACAACTTTTTTTTTTTTTTACACAAATGAAAAGGAGAGAAAAGTGTGAAAAGATAAATGATGTGATAAAAAAAACGAATTATAAGAAAATGTTGCAAAAATAGAATAATTCAAAAAGAAAATGTACTTTAGCAATTTAAGTTGTATTCAGGTTCTGGCAGATAATTGCTCATTGAGTTGCTTTTCTTTTATTCAACAGATCATGGTGGTCTTCCCACTTGGAATGACATGACTGGTTGGAGAATGCTTGGTTTGAGAATATGTACCTATAACTATAACCCTTTTATTCCTTAGAAACTGTATACTAGTGTAACGTTTGGAAAACCATAAAATATATGAAATATCATCAGAATAAGTTAGTGCCTTAGTGGTAGCAACTTTCGTGTCCATTGCCAGTTTGCCACCAAGTTTCAGGTTTCAACTTGCCTGCAGTAATCAAAACAAATACAAATATAAATTTTGCTACAAGTTTATTCAATCCTGCAGTGTAAACAATCTGTCATCTAAATTGTGATAGCAAAGGAAGTCATATATTACTTTCTTTTTCTTGATTTCAAAACGCATGTTTTGATTTAGTTGACTTCCTCAATCGTCAAAATGATGATATATACAAATTCCCGTAGCCATGAAATTAATTGGGGTTCATTATTTTTGGTGCAAAACTAGGATCGGGGAAGAAAATCCTATAATTTCCCCATCATTTAGAATTGAAAATTACACATCTCATTGGAATTAGATTTCAATCAAAACGCAGCATGTAAGTGCTCTCTATCAGATCCCAATTTCTATCCATTAAACGTGCATATCTACTTTGTTTTTGGTGACACATCCTCAAGTTAGTCAAGTGCAGTGGTTTGAAATGGATCAGAAATACCAACACGACCACAGGATGAGACAGAGAATGGCCTAGAGATCGCGTATTTGGATAGAATACATATTGTTATATAGAAGAATATATGCACGTATATTTTATACTAAGCTGTAAAGTTTGTTATGTATTTCAGTTATAAGTAATGAATATTGACATTGCCTTATATGGGTGGGTATAAATGGATTGAGTTAGGCTTAAAAAAAAAACACAAATCCAATTTAATTAGATATCTTAATTTAGTCAAACTCGACTTATTATGCCTGTTTACACTTGATGTGATACTAGCTCATGACAATTTTCATATTAAAATATGCCCATCTGCCAAAGTGATATAGTTCGATCACTTAACAGTCAACCTTAGCTTTAAAAGGTTTTGCTGCATCATGCCTTCATATTTCCAATCATCACGCCCAAATCCAGAGCAACAATAGGTGCGATTTTGTTCTAAAATGAAGAGGGGAAAAAAAAAAAAAAAGGTAAAAAGAAAAGAAATCTTCCGTATTTCTCTTTGTAAAAGGGGAAAAATACAAGAAAGTATTTCAAAAAACATTCTTAATCTGCAGACATTGCTAAGAACTTCCAATAAGTTACATTAATCACTGCTTTCTTAAAATTGCTAATTATCCAACTGATATAATAAGATTGAAGAGGAGAGAAAAAAATTAGGCAGAAACGAAAGAAACCAATAAATAATGGCCAACAAAATGGAGAAGAGCACATTCATCATGATGCTTCACCTAATTAATTCACAGCTCCAGTTGTGGCAGTAAACAAACAAGGCTAAGTTGTGACCATATCCTCAACTCCATTCCGTGAAGCAGCATCTGCCAGTCTCTTCCATTTAAGTTCCCGCTCCTCTTCTATTTCTTTGGCTTTAGCCTCTTTCTCTGAATGCTGCCTCTGGCACTCTTCAAACAATTCTGCATCCATTTCCAAGAACATTTTGCGAACATTCACAGTCAGACCGTGAACTGCCTGATTCCAGTGACTCGAAATATTTCTTTCAAATGCTTCAAATATTATTGGTAATATCACAGTCCTGTTTTGGGCAATTAAGCTCACAATATGCTCATTATTCCACAAAAAGAGGGCTCGTTCTGCAACCTGCATAACAAGTGTGCCTAAGCAAAGACTTCTGATAGAACATTTAAACCATGAAAAATAACAGTAAACAAGTTCAGTTCTTCTGACTGTTCAAGAGTCTAAACACTGTATGCTGATTAAAAATACTCGAGAATAAAACATTGACATGTGTAATTTTTTAAAAAAGATAAGAGGACAACGTAAGTTAATCATCTATCACAAGAGGGAAGTGTAATTTACAGAAACACTTCTTTCAAAAGCACCATAAAACTGGAATAAAATACATAGCACCCTCATGAAGTCGACTCTAGCAAATAAGCCTGTTGTGACCTTAGAAACTAACTTGCTCTTCCAGTCTTTCATATAAGTGAAAAAAGGAAAATAAATATTAGCTTAGCAGGGGCTTGGCAAACAACAGATAAAGCTTCTCTCTGTTTTTCCGGGAAATTGATTTTTCAGAAGAATTTTAGAAGTTTGAGCCAATTTTGGATGGAAGGGACTATTTGCCTCGGCAATTTGAAAGGGATGCGTCAGCTTATAAGAAACCAAGAGATAACAAGTTCATCATAATGTTACTAGAAAGCAACAAGATAGAATATAAGCTCATTGAGAACAAGGCTAACGCATGAATAGAAAAAAAAGAAAGATCAATAGCACTTTGCTCCCTGATTTATCAGATCAGTTGCAACACCCTCATGACCTAAGAAACTAAACTTTTATTAGTGAATTGAAGATCATTTGCAATGTGTCACCCGCCAATCAAACAAGTAGAGCCAGCAATACTTGTTTGGAGTGCAAACAGTATAAATATTTGAAGTTATGATAATGTTTTTACATGGATTTAATTAAAACTAAAGAAGCAATTTTCATTCATGAGGGTGCCACCCCCTTTCCTATTAAGGTCGGTCCACCTATCCATCCAAATGAACACCACCTTCCCCATAAAGGTATGTCGAACTGTGCATCCACAAGAAGGTTAAGTTAGCCAGTTGAATGTAAGTAACATAACTACGATGGAAGTGGAACGAACCCTGGCCATTACATGGGCTGCTGTAGCAGAGCAGTTTAATGTAGCAGCCATAGTAGACTAAATAGCAGTCGTAGAGGACAGGATAGTGGCACTATGTGATGATTCCAAGAAAGCCCTCTGAACAGAGAGGTTAGGCCATTTTGGAGGGCTATTTTTGGGATTTCAATTTTCAAAAATGAAATCTACAGCTCTAACAGTAATGAAAATAAAGAAGACTTATATTTAAAAGATGATGATTGATGATTATTGTCAAGGAAACCTGTATTGTTACATTAAGACACCTATGTCCTTTGTTAATCCTGACATGAGTGTCATGAATTTTGACTAATTTATATCATTTTTGAGAATTTATACGTATATAGCATACATTATATATACATATTTCAAAATAGCAGTTATCCCACTAGTGTTTTTGGGATCGGCAGCTACACACTGCCATCAAGATTTAGAACACTAACAATAGGCTAAAATAAATAACAAATTATCTGGTGAGTACTGAATTTAACCCATTTTTTTTTTCCTGAGTTAGAAATGTTCTCTTAGTTCCCAAACTTTTCCTCCTTTAACTTTTTTGTCCCTGCCATCAAGTGCCATTGTTGAGTAATGACATGACAGCCACAGCAGCAACCAACTATTTTTTAACCGGTCTTAGAGTTTGTTTGGATACAAGTTAAGTTTGTTTGGAGTTTTGATTCATGGGTTAATAGGTTTGTGATTTTTCTTATCCTTGTTAGTTTTGCTTACCGTGTGTTGTTGATTTTGTTTCTTGGATTATGGTCTAGGGAGTTGTTGATTTGTTCAATGACATAATAATTGAGGGACTAAGACTGGTTAAAAAAAATTTTGAGACAGAAAGTGAATTTTGTGAAAAGATCATAGTTGTCAGCCCCCTAGATAGCGAAGCAAAGTGGCTGACCCAAATAGTAGAATAGCGAGATGACAGCTATTCTAGCACGTGTGTGTGAATAGGAATCATTTATTCCAAGAGTAAATCTCAATAGATTTATTCCACTTAATAACTCATAATCTAAATTAAATTTCAATAATTCAACTACTAATTTAAAAGTTCTTATAATGTATAGACAAATTAATAAAAAGTTTAAAAATTATTTAATAATTCGTTTCATTAATTCAAATTAATGGATAATCATAAAATCATTTTATATATTGATTTAAATTTATATAAAGAAATATTTTATGATTTCTTAACTTTACAAAAATTTGTAGACTTATCTATAAATTAAGAACTTCTAATTTAATGATTAGATTGTTAAAATTCAATATAGAACATGAGTAATTGAGAAGGATAAGTTTACTAAGACTTACTCTTAAAGTACTTCTCTCTCTCTCTCTCTCTATATATAATATATATATATATAATTTAAAAATATATATTATAATTAATAATATAAGCTCAAAAACAGAAAATAACTCAGTTTGTGCATTAACCATTTTCAATAATAAAATTTTTGGTACTTGAATAAAACATAAAATAGAAAGTCAAGAAAACAAAGTATTTAAAACCTTAAATTAATTTTGTTACTTAAAAATGTTCTATGAACTACAATAATTAAAAATAATAATAAAAAAATTATCTCAATTAAGCTCACCAAATCAAACCAAAAAAGGAGAAAAAAAAAACATTTTGGCCCATTGGCCTAATTTTCCTGATCCTAATTTGTTCACTGTAACCCTAAGACCCCAACAACTAGGCACTTAGCCCCACCCCCCTTTCCACTTAGAGCATCTGCAATGGGAGTTGCTTATAAGCAACCCCCATTGGAGATGCTATTAGAAGATTCAATTGTTGAAGAGCTGCCACAGAAGAAGTCAAATATAGGAGAGCCATCGGAAGAAAAAGATAGAGTCATTGGAGAATAAGACAGATGCAGGAGAACCGTTATGAGAAGAAGACTAGAGTCGCCAAACAAGAAGAGATTTGCCAAAAAGATAAGGCACCACGAAGAGAGGAGACGCGATGGCACACACCAGGTCAACGAAAACGCACAAAAGGAAAAAAATGAAGGGAAATACAAAAATGTATATTTTCAAAATTTCGCAAACTGATCTCCACTCGGCCAATTCGCAACCACTCCCGCCACAACGATGGAACGCTATGCAACGTCACTGCTGCAACTTATTGCGGCAGCTTTTGACAACATAGCTATAGAGTATAGACTGCAATTACCATTGTTTATGCTAATGAAGAGAAAATCATCACTAGGGAAAGAAATATAGTTCCACATTAAGCCCATAAAACATATTGGGAAAAGTAATGATGCTTTTGCATGGACTTAGAAACCCAACCCCATCAAGAAACTATTGTGATGTGAATTGCTTGAACTTAAAGTCTAGGAAGAGATGAAATTCAAAATCTAGTTCCTAAAGAAATTATTTGGGTTTTTCTAATGGGTTAAATAAGTTTAGTCCCTAATTTGTTTTTAAAAATTTCACTTTTAGTCCTTAAACAAAAGTTTGACAGCCTTAAGACCTTAATTTTTTCCTCCACCAACATTTTTGGTCCTTGTTCATCATGCACTAATACCGTTAATGATGTGGCTGCCACATCATCAACTTGTATGACAAGACCTTCACATGTTATTTATTTTGTAAATTATGTTTAGGCCCTTCTCTTTTCTTATGTTGTCAATAGTGGCCACTATCATGACAAAAGCAAAGGGGCACGAAGCCACAACAATGACACCATTGCATAGCGGTTCAACCTTGCAGCTAGAGCAGCCATGAATTGGCAGCGCGGGGCGGGTCTAGACCAGTTTGCAAAATTTCGAAAAATACACTCACTTAATGAGGGTACTTTTCTTTTTCCCTTCAAAGAAAAATTCCCTTTGTGCATTTATGTTGACCTAGTGGGCGTCATCACTCCTCTCTTCCTATTGCCCTAATTTTTTCTTCTTCAATGACTCTCTTCTTCTCTAGCAGCTCTGTCTTCTTCTCTTAACAGCTCCCTTGCATATTTGTCCTCTTTTTTGACTCTATCTTCTTTTCCCAGTGGCTCTCCTATAGGCTTGTCTTCTTCTCCGACGACAACTCTAATAATTGAATCTTCTAAGAGGGAAAAGAGGGGGGAAGCACCTAGCTTTTGGGGTCATAAAATTACAAAGAACAAATTAGGATTGGAAAAATTGGGCAAATGGGTCCAAATGTTATTTATTTATTTTTCTCCTTTTTGTGTTTGGTTTAATGGGTTTAATTGAGATAAATTTTAATTTTACTTTTTTATTTTTAATTATTATAGTTCAGAGAACATTTTAAGCAACAAAAAATTGATTTAAGACTTTAAATACTTTGTTTCCTTGACATTCTATTATATGTTTTATTTAAGTACAAAGAATTTTTATTATTGAAAATTGTTGATGCATTAAATATATATTTATATATATGTGAGAAAGCTTCAAATGACACCGGTGTAACTTTTACCAACTATTACATCGTTCAATAACTTTATATTAAATGTGAATTTTATTGATCCAATCACTGAATTATAACTTCATATCATCTTGTATATATATATATCAAATTTTGTTAAAATTGAACAACAATTTAAAGATAATCAAAGTATGCATATTTTAGTATATTTTGAAACGTATATATTACATCAATTTTGTTTAATAAGAATGAGGTATCAAATCATCTTAAATTAATATAAAATTTTGTATATATGATCTAAGTGTGAGGAACTTCAATCTAACGATAAGTTTTGAAAAATTTATATTTAATTGAAAGTTCTTAACCGGTGTAATAGTTGCTAAAAGTTACACCAATATCATTTAAATTCTCCTTTATATCCATTATCCCACTTCTGGGGTCGTCCACTGTGCTTAACTATCTCGGATTGACAACTATGCTCTACAAAGATACACAAGCATGAAGAAGATATTTTATTGACCAAGTGATTAATAGCAAGAGCATTCAGTAATATTCAGATTGGATCAATTAAAAATGACTAAAATTGTCAACCTTATAAATAGTCATTTTTATTGCTTAATTAGACTCCAAAGAGCATGCTCAAACATGAGGATTCATAATTCAACAGAGATGCAACAAATTGGTTTTCATCTTTAAGAAAGAAGTGCACCAAACTAGAGACTAAGCTCAACTGAGAAGGGATGCCCAATGGCTCTCTATGAATAAAAATGTGTTGTACCAATAATCATTAGATTCTAATATTTTAAAAGCCAGATCACAACACATGGCATATCAAAAGATTGAAAGGTACATGTTTACTAGTTTGGGTAATTGTCCTCATAAAAGAGAAATTTCCTTTCAGAGTATTGATAGTTAGGTTTGTGAAAAGGAAGATGTTAGATGATGCAAACAGCTTGAGTTATGAGAACAAAAGTTACTAGACAAAGGCCATCCATGAGTCATGACAATGACATGACCCTGAAAACAAGTTCCTTAGGAGTTCTTATGTCCTTTCAAACTGATTTTATTTCCAGCATGTTGGTCATGTGACTTGAATGTAACTCTCAATCCATCTAACTTGACTCTCAATTTTGTCATTAGGGAGGAAAAGTGTAATCAATCATATTAAATCCCAGGGGAATGTGCTCAGAATCTTGAATCGAGAAGGGTGTTGCATTTCTCCAAACAAATAAGGGTAATGGATAACACTTGACACTAGAAACCATATTTCCCACAGCTTCAATCTCAAGATTCAGTTCCTATTAGGTTGGAATTCTTTAAACACAGTCAGATGCACTTCACGACATAATAAGTAAATAAGAAAGAAACAAAACCATAACCCAGAGATTTCTAAAATACTTTGCAAGAGAAATCACGAACTTTTACAGTTATTAAATATAAAATTAACTTTACAGTCCCCAACATAAGCCCCTACCCATGTAATCTTTATTTTGTGCTAGGTATTTTACTATTTAAAAGATATAAATCACACTTACAATTCATACTTAATAAGTAACCTAATAGACAATAGCCACTAGTTGAATTTCACTTTTGGTTAACTTTGCCATTTCAGTACTCGCTCTGAAGCAGACAATGAACAATAATGAAGTCAAAATCCCTGTACAAGCAAAAAAAGCATGTGCATGTGCCTGTATGCTTGCATTTCTATGTGTGAAAGACCAGAAGCCAACCAAGTTAGATTCAAACATAAACCCACTTCTCCCATTAATAGTTAATGACATAATATAATTTTTTTTAATATGTTTCCTATCTAAACTCTCTAAAGGCGCATCACTAATAGACCCATGGCATAAAAAGTAACTAAACAATAAGCACCAAAACTGTCCACCAAAAAACTAGATTCAATCACAATAGAGAATGGAGCTATAAAAGGTGAAACAGAAAAGGAATGATGCAATTAAAGTTCATTAATTAGGCATCTGAAACTTGCATCCCTCCCCTCAACCCCGCATACCATAAATAAACAACCACAAGTTAAAACAATAGGCCTAGATTGGGTGTGTAACGTATATCATAACATATAAGGTAGCAGTTCAACAAGCAACATTTCCAATTGAAACCCACAACACCATGTCCAAACTAACACCATCATAAATACAGTAAATATCCACGAACCTGAAAGTGAGGGCTATTGAGGCAGCGCGAAATCTGTCTAAAAAGGGGAACCATGCATCGTTGAAACTCTGCCGCCTGCGTGGCCTCCAGCACTTCCTCCAACTCTCCAAGGAAGAGAACCTCCTTCTGGCAATTAGTAACAGGCCAATACTTCAACAACCCCCTAATCACGGTATCCGCCAGCTTGAAATCCTTCTCCACGAACTGCGTGATGCAGTAAGACAACTGCTGGTGGTACATCCCCACGGACTTGGGCTTATGCAGAGGCAAAAGCGCCCTCACCAGAAACAACTTATGCTCCTCCTTCATGGGCAGAGCAAACCCATTAATAATGCTCCCAAGAATCTCCAGAAGCTCCCCAATACCACAGTGCCGCTCAGTCTCATATATAAACCGGTAAAAAATGTTGTTAATAGCTTTCCTAATAAACGGCCTATGAACCATGAATTTCCCGTATATACGATGCAGTATGGTTTTCAAATATTCCCTCTCCCGCGGGTCCTCAGTGTCAAACAAATCAAGCAATTTGAGAACGAAGGAGTGATCGATATACCGTTTGGCGATTTTAGCATCGGTATCGGAGGAAACAATGTATCTGAGGAGAAGCTCGTACACGAGCTGAAGGTGAGGCCAGGAGGGGTCCATGCTCGGTTCCTCCTCCTCGGGATCGGCGGGTTCCTGGCCGGTGTTTTCATGCGACGCCGGCGGGAGGCACCGGAAAATGTTGACGGAGATCATTCTGATCATCTCCTCCTGGCAATTCTCCGACATCTTGCCGGAGCCCGATTGGATGAAGTCCACGAGGTCCATCAGAGCCTGCCGCTTGATTTCCTTCTCTCTCACGTTCTTCAGCGTGTCCGAGAAGTCCAGCGCGTAGCAGCACACGTGGAGCTTCCGGAGGAACAGGCTCTGCCGCTCGGACGCCGCCGCGTCGCGGAACGGCGGCACCGGCTCCATCGCGCCGGACAGCGGCACGAGGGGGAGAGCGGAGGCGGAATTCGCCGCGGAGCCAGCGGCGCCGCGCGAGGCGTGGTTGACGACGACATTGGCGGAGGGCGGCGGCACGCGGTTGGCGGCGGCGTACGGCGGCGGAGGGGGATCGCTGGCGTCGGACTTGGAGGGCTTCTTCCCTCCTTTCATGATTTTCTTGAACATTCTGCTTTGCGACGGAAACCCTAACCCTAGGATTGCAGGATTGAGATGAAGCAGCGCGTGGTGACGGAGGCGCGGTGGTGTAGTAGTAGTTGAGCGATTGGTTTTGGGTGAGGAGCGGAGAAAAGGTTTTCATGGAGGTGATGCTAATCCATGAATGGTTGGTGGCGTGGGGATTGGGATCTGGAAAGGAGGAATCATGGGGTGAGTGAATGCCGGAGAATTGACGGATGGGTCTGTCGGAGAAATGCTCCGGCGAGAGAGACGCTGAGAAGGAAGGAATGGCGCACGCTGAAACAGCGAAAGAGAGAGCGAACGATAATTAAGGGATGCGAATGAGATTAGAGCGAGCCCCGTGTGGAAAGTGAGTGATTATAGATTACAATAATCGCTTTTTGAAACAGTCATTTTTTTAATTTATTTAATTTATTTGGATTTTTTAAGTTGGTTTGGTTTTCACTTTTCTACTTACTTTCTGGACTGCTTTTTATTCATGGTTTAGTTAGAATTGGATAAAGGAGTGAGTGAGATAGATTATCGAAAGCCACAAGAGTGTAGTTGGAGTTGTGAAGAATATTTAACACTTTTTGGGATATTAATATTAATGAATGGAGTAGAGGTGCTCCCACGTAGCCATGGATGATTAATTCTTCTAGTCTATGTTTAGGAAGTGATGAATTTGGGCATGAGAAGGAGTGTATATCAAAGTTCTTAGATGGCATGTCTTTGGATGTGCCTGCTCCTATTTCTAGTTCCAGTTAATGGCCACCATATACCTTTAAACGTTAAAATTACAAATACGAAACAGCTACCATCAACATTTTTCATAAAATGGATCCTACACCCACAAAGAAGCAAAAACGCACACTACACAAATTTAGAATAAATTACCCTTTTATTCTTATTTTTTTTCATACAGATGTGACCATATAGTTTATTTATGCCTAGAAAATTCGTTAACCAACATGATAGTTTAGGGTTTAGAAATCGGGATTAGGTAACACAAATTCTTGGGTAGCGTTTACTTCAAGGATTTAACTATACTAGTATATTATAAATTGTATTCTATATGTTAAATAATATATTATATATAATTAAATTTTATAATTAATTATACATATAAATAAGTATTATATTTAAATATATAAATTATATTTAATATTTGTATAAATAAATATTTTTAAACATAAAAATTATATTTTGTTTTAAGATAAATAATTTATATTATAATATAGAATTATTTTATTTATTGATAATTTATTTTGAAAATATTAAAATTTTAATTTATAAATAAATACAATAAATAAAAAATTAAATTAATTAAAATTTAAAAAAAAAAACCTTTAAAACAATATGTCAAAAATAATTTTTAAAAATATTTTCACATTATTTACGTTTAATATATAAAATTAGATTTTCATTAATGATATTCTTAGGAATATTATGTCCATAAAAAATATTTGGTAAATACTTATTATTCTTTTGAACTTTTTCAATTTTTTAATTCAAAAGTAAAAAAATGAAATATAATAAGATGAAAGTTTGAAGTTGTGAGAAGTTAATTTAGAAAATAGCTTATATTTTCATGAATTCATCCTTTCACATGGGATAGAAAGAGAATGAATCATATGTGATATAGATTCTTCGGACTAAATTAATGTTTGAATTTTTTGTTTTATAATTTATATCAAATACAAGATGTTAGATTTTTACACCAACACTCACATTCACAATCCTGAAAATAGTTTTATAATCTTTGAAACAAACACTGACTTAATAATGTAAATTAATTTATGAATGTGACTTCATTATTATCCTGTATTGATTCGGATAGAAAGAATTTAGTTTTTTTTAAAATATGTATTATTAAATGTGAGCTCATATTGATGTATATAAAACGAAATCTTTGGATTACAAAAAGTATTTGTGATTTTATTATAGCAGTCTAACGAACACAATTGTCGGACACAATCAAAGTCTAATTGATGAGCAAAGTCTGATAAGGACGGTTCATGCTATAAATATGAGTCAGCCCAAACTCGATAAGCTTCTTTTACCAAGCCTCATTTTCAACCTTCAATGCTCACGTGTTATGTTATCACTTACTAAGTCAAAAATATGCAGATTTATTTTTACTTTTAAAAAAATAATCGTTGTGCTTCTGATTTTAATTTCATCGGTTTGAACAGTTTAAAAACCCAACAAAAGCTTGATTTTCTGTGGTTTCACTGTATTGGTACTATTTAAAGGATAACGTATTAGAAAAATTCAAAATATGAATAAAAATGTGTCAGATCAAATCATAAATTTATAAACCTCGAATAAAGATTAAAAAGGATATTTGTTGAACTAGGCTCTATTGGAGTAGTTTTTTTTTATTTAATTGTATTTTTTCTTCTGCAATCTTTCACAATTTTATGAATTTTATATTTAAGGATTTTTTAAAAAAAATGTGAGAGGATTAGTTTACGATGTCTAAAAAAAAGGAAAATCAAGTGAATTAGTAGAATGATATTATAATATTGTATAGTTTATATTTTAATTTTCTAAAGTTAGGTAAAGACACTTGTAAGATCTTCTTTGTTATAAATTGGTTATAAAAATGTATTTCCTTAGTCTTTGATGTGAGACTCCCGTATCTCTCTTTCACTCTTTTTTCTCTTCACATCTCCTTACTCTCTCTTTTTCCCATTTTCCATTTTCTCTGATCTTGGATGTCTGTGGTGATCTTAGACACTGAGTAGTGGTGTTGGAGGCTTTAGCTGAGCGCGATTTCTTTCTTCCTTCTCCATTCACCATCTTTTTCAAGCTTCTTCTTCCATCGTTCTTCTTCCCGGAGCTCGGAATCTTCACACCGAGGTAAGGGAAGCTAGGTTTTTGCCCGATTTTGTTGGAAATGAGTTCTCAAACTCATTTATGGTTAGTTTCCTGATGATTGATGCGATATCAGTAATAACTTAGCTTTTTGGGTTTCTGGTGTTGCACCGGGCATGACTACGTCTCGCCAGGTGTGGAGACTCCTTAGGAGTCTTTGCTAGAGGTGGCACTAGGCGCAATTGGTATTGCGCCGGGCGTGAGACCTTGGGGAGGTCTCTGCCTTCCTTGCGCCGAGCGCGGGTTTGGCACGCCGGGCGTGTGAGGCTCTTTAGAGTCTCTGCCTCCTAGCACGCCGGGCACAATTGGAATTGCGCTGGGCGCGTTTGAGCCCTGGTGCTCTCTGGTTGGGCCATGCCGGGCGCGACCATGAGCGCGCCGGGCGCGGATGTGATTCTATTATAGGCTGATATGTGTTGAAAAATGCTAATAATGGTTGATGTTTGCTGAGCTGAGCTGTTATTAATGAATGTTGTTAAGCTGACTTATAATATTGATGTGCTGTGAGTTGTTCATGCTGAATTATGATGTTTAAGCTGTGATGTACAATGTTGAGTTGTGTTGTATGTTGTTATTGCTGTTATTGTTGAGCTGTTATAGGCCGTAAGGCTGAGCTATTGTAGGAGATCTCCGAGCTGATATGCATGACGACATTGTTTGTTTACTGCTGTTATTGCTGAATGATGTGAGTTGCATATGTGATGTGTTGTGCGCTGATCTTGCTGAACTAGATTGATGTGCTGATAGTTGTAGCTATTTACCATTCATGTATTTATATATATATATGTATGTTGATTCTGTTCACTAGCTTACCCTTTGTTGTTTCCATGTGGTTTGGACTGCAATGATCATACTATGTATGGGAGTAGAGCAGGGTTAGGTTGGTGTCTTGAGGCAGGTCTGTAGCTGGCAGATGGAGTTTATTCTTTTTGTTGTTTTTAGCTACTTAGTGTAGCAATTGGGTTGTATTTTGTATATTTGGATTTTTAAGCCCCAGGCTAGACATGTTGTTTATACTCTATTTGGTTATATGTATGTTCTTGTCTGTGTGGTGTTGTTGTGGGTTGCTGTGTGACGGCCAGGTGGGTTGTTACACTGAGAAGAGGAATAAAAATATCTTAGTTTATGTTTATTTTCTCTATAACTTATAGCTCTTGAATGGAAGAAATATAGTAGTAATTGAGTAGCATTTCACTATTTAATATTGGTGCTTTTATTTTATTTTTTTATCTCATTTTTGTTGAATTAGGTAAGAAATGGATATTTTAGTATTTGATGGAATTGAAGATACTTATCATGGATTTTGTGCACTAAGAAATATTTCAAAGCAAGAAAACACTAGAGAAAGTGAAGCTCTTGGAAGCTATGGCAACATTAACTATTCAAGCTCTTCAATGGGGTTATGGTGGTCTCAATATCATTCGCATACAAGTTTGAAACTATTCACCACCGCCTTTCTTTGACATTTCAAGTTGGAATACTAGGACTTCCTTTCGATCCTCGACAATGAAGACAAGCCATATTCAAATTCATAAAACATTTTGCTCCGAACTTTAAATGAAATTTTCTTTCCAATGGATCAGATAAAGGCATTTTCCCTTGTTGTTAACACTTTTGAACAACCTGTTATGGTTGAGACGGTAGAACATTTCCCATCACCAAAGTTGGAGGTACTGTTTGCAAAATTAAAAACCCAAGCCAAGGCCAACAATTTTCATTTACAACAGAAGAGCAACACGACCATAGTGGGAAACTCATCTCTCAGGCCACCACCTTTAAAGACATAATAAGTTTCATTCTCGTTGCCATCGAAACCATCAGATACTACCAATTTGCCAAGCACCCAACTTATGGTGTGTGTTTGGGAACCATTCAATTGGGATTGAACAAAAAACTACACTTGTAAGTTTTTGCTTTTTATGAATCAAAAAGTGTGTTTTTTTTATTGAATGTGATTTTAAACTAATATCCAAACATACACATAATCAATGTCACATGCAACAACATTGTTATTGTCCTCTACATTACAACTATCTCTTATTTTGTCTCGTTTTTATGTGTCATTGTTGTTTTCTGCATTGTTATCGACCTTTACAAAAGCATTCACAATCACAATGTCAAAGAAGTCAGGAGCCCAAAACACATTGTGTAAGGATGAAGGCATTTCAACAAAACCACAATCATACTCAAATTTTCTAGAGTGCAACTCTCATTTCTTATGTGTGTTTTGTTCATCCCCTAAAGCAATTAGATGTGTATGTCATCTTATTAGACAGTTCGGTAGTTGATGCATGTCAATTGTTTGATGATACAAGTTGGTAAACACATATGACACTTGTGTGCACCTTTATTAATGGATTCTACTATAGTGGAAGAGGGTTAAGAGTTCATCATACGCATCCAAGGGATCGACCTCATTGCAAAAGTTGAGTTTTCCTTCAAAATTTTGTTATATACAACCTACTATTTGTAAACCTCAAAGCTTATTGTTGGATATGAACTTGGGAAGGTG